CAATGAAGACGCAAGTCAAGTAAAATAATGTTGATTATTAATTACCCACTTCGAAATTTTTTCCAACGAGAATCAGTTTTTTTATAAAATTCAGAGTACACCCTAATTTTTATAGAAATATTTAATAGTTGAAAAAATTATTATTTGTGACGTACTCGCTTTTTTCGACGTCAAATTAAAATTTCAAATACTAAAGGTGAGAGACCATTATCTCGCCTTTTCAACTCGTGAACTAGACTTAAAATAAGGCAATGAAATATAATGTATGTAACACTCTGCGAAAACATAAATTGTCACAGTATAAAATTTTCACTAATGATGTGATGCCATATGATTTGTTATTACTGAAGTTTTGTATATAAAACAAAATAAGTTATTTGTAAAGTTTGCTACTCAAATCACAAATGTTTCGGCATCGAAAACAGTATTTCAATTATATTCAACAGCCTGAATAATGAATCGAAAAATTACTGGATATGACTAAATAATATATACAATATTTACATTCATCTTGTGAAGACCAAAAGAAATTAGGGAGGAGGAAAAAACTATTAGTCAGATATAGGAAGTTTGAAAATCATTTATCCACATCTTCATTAAAATAAGATGTATGAGTTAAAAATTCTGGATGGAGACTCCATATAAAAGTGAAACTCAACGAATGATATATTCTCAAAAGCAGTTCTGTTGCTATCTCATTAAGGGTATGCTTTTTAAGTCATCGAACGGTTTGAACAGACAGACATTTTTTGAAAGTAATATTTGAGTTGAAATATGCACAATAATGAATGGAGTAATTTCTTCAAAGAATTACTATCCTGTATGTAGAAATATAACAAATCAATCAAATTCTGTTCTCACACTTTCACTATGAGATGTCAAAGAATATAATCAATGGTGAGTTGATCATATTTTTATTCTCATCTGACAGATGAAATATTCATTGACACATCAAAATTGTGTAATCCCAGTTCAAAATCTTTTCCTCCTCTGTGGCCCTTTATTTCTTTAAATCAGGACAATAATTATTTACAACTCCAGACTATACAGTTTAAAGTGATTTTGAATGATAAAATAAATCATTCTAAACTTACTTGGATTTTTTGCTGTGTGTCTGAATGATGCGACCTGAAAAAAAAAAACAATTTTAGTAATTTCAAAAACTACACCTCACGATTCGATCTCCACAAACTTCATTTGAAAAATATATCATAATATATTTCGCTAGCACAGTAGCTTTGTCAAGTGAATTGAATACTTCAAGTTGTTTCTTACACTCATATTTACAGGTAACCATAATTGAGATTACCTCCAAAAAATTACCTAAACCTCTTCCTAAGGTACCTGCTCAATAATGATTACCTAAAGCATATTGCCTCACATCTACATCAATAATAATTCTTTCTCGGTTTTCAAGAAAACAAGTTCAATAATGGTGATCTATTCAAATCCAGTTGGTAATTCATTAGAATGTTTGAATTTTCAAGTTTAATAATTTTCATTGCTTCCAAATGATTCAGTTTCAAACCATTATTTTCTATGTGCAAAATTTCGAAGTCTTCGTTAAAGATATGATTCTCTTCTAGAATGTGCTTTGAATATGATGAATTTGTTACATAGCTCCTATGATGTTCCTGCATTCGATTCCTAAATGTTCTGCCAGGTTGACCAATATATACTTTAGGGCACGCACTCCTGATTTGTCGAATTTGGATGAATTTGTTCTTTGTTACGTCATAGTTTCAACGCCAGAACGAATGTATCAAAATCACAGACGAATACGTTTTGAATACATGAGCGCCAGAAAACGCCTATAGTTTATGATATGAATGAAAATGTCCAAAAATATTCTTCTTCTCTCTCATCATGTAATGGCTTCAGCTACTAAGACTATAACGTATTGACTGTGCATTCAATTATTCAAGTGTCAGCTGTCAGCTTCGAGTGCTGTCCACTCTTCTTCTTCCATTTTTTTCAATATTGATTATTTGTAGAAAATTTCACTACGGTTGGCAACTCTGTAGGAGATGATCCGAAATCGGCTGTAATTTCCAAGATAATGCGACCCACGATGATCGAATCGTTACAGCTTCCTAACTGAAGTCATAGACGAAGGGTTGAACGGCGGTTTCATATTCATGACGTAACACAAGATCATGTGACATCACATACAACTCAAGGCCAAGTCAAAGGTGGATAGTGGAAAAGGGGTTTCAAAGTCAAAGTCAGTGTGACAGTGGGAAGGAGGTAGTGGTGGGAAAAGATTCAGAACCCCCATTAGCACCCTATTCTGAAACCCTAGCTCCTCAATAGATTTCATGATTGGTCATCTACTTATATGAAGTCGCCCTCACCATAAATGACATTGTAAATGTAGACACTGGTTCTACAACGGTTTAGGCACTGCGACTTTACTCTTACGCTTACGTTCCAATGCGGAGGCGGCCATTTTATGTCTTGAGGTACGAACAGAAAAGAAGGATATGATGCGTCCCTTGAGTAGAAATATTTCGGAGTTAAAATCGTTATACAATCGGAACTCCGGATGGGTACTGATTCGAAGACATCATTCAGTTGAGGTCAACCTACAAGAAAATCGTATAATAGCTTCAGTTTCTCACAGACACAGTGAAAAATTTTGAATCAACTCCTACAACATCAAGGGACTAGAACTTCGAAACTTGTGCGATTTAGCAAGTATCAAAAAAAATCATTGATGTTGAAAGGGACTTGGGAAACGTTGGGAATTTTTGGGCCGTGAAGATAGAAAAAATAATAGTAAAAAAATGGATGAAAATAAAAAAAAAAATGAGAGAAAAGAAAGGGAGAGGGAAAGGGAAAGAACCGGGAGAAGGTTTGAAAACTTCAAAAAAAGTTAAATTTCTCCTAAGTAAAAGAACAGTCCAGAACAGTCCATAAATTTTACAAATTTCCCAACTTCTCGCGGTTTTTTCGACTTGGAAAAGTTGTGAAATTTCGGGCCGTGAAAATAGAAAAAATAATAGTAGAAAACAATAAGCANTTTTTCGGGTATTTGATCCGTGTATGTGATATTATTTCTAATTTGTAAATTCCAAATTGATTTCAACTGACTTTTTATGAAAAGAATAATAGTTGATATACTTTCCTGAATTAGTAGGTTTGACATACCAATCAGTAATCAAGGAATTATTAGTTTTACGTATAACTCTTGTATCAAGAAAAATAAGGGTCTGATTATTTTCTATTTCGATAGTGAATTGTAGTTTTTTATCATATCTATTGATAACATCAAGAATTTCATCAGGTTTTTATAAGGTATGGCACAGATGACATCGTCAACAAATTTCTTCAAAAAAGGAATTTCCTAACTCAGTTTGGGAAGTATGTTTTTAAAACCATTCCATATACTTTAGTTTATTAAGATTAGTTGGACAAGTTAACAACAACAGGCATCTAGAAGCCTACAAAAGTGTAGAAATAAGTAAACATAATGATTTTATGAATAACGATGGTGGACCATTGCCTAATAGCATACTCTATAGCTTCTTGAAATAATATTTTAATCATTTAATTAACCTGACTATTAGATAAGGCCACATTGTTAAATTAATTCAGGACTAGTAGATGAAGCAACATAAGGACAACATTGTATGTATATTTAGTTTAATCTTCCTCTTGAAGATGATCACTTGGTGATCGAAACACGTGTCGAGGTGTTGAAAATGATGGTTTGTTGTTGGGATAAAACTCCAGCAACATTCATTACTATAATAATGTACACCTTTGGTGTATACAGGTTCCAAACAGTGCATCGGAGGTATTTTCTTTATCTGTTTAAAATCTGTTTTTCCGTTAATCAGCTGTCGTCCCCATACGAACGAAAACTCTCAGAAGTCGAGAAACTTGTGCGAGCTAAGGATTAACGAGGTCTTACCTTTTAACGTGTGATTCCTAACACGTTCCATACTGTTCACAACTCATTGTGAGCAGTATGAATACCTTCAGTGAATTTTCATCAAAAACTTCATCTCCACTTTTGAAATAGGCGGAATAGATATAATAATATTAATTTTGGTAGGGCAATAATGAATTTGAAAGAAAAATGTGTGAGGTTTTGAATTCCTGCAGTTAAACTTTTTAATTTTCCGGTAACTTTACCTATCGTTAAAAATATAATTTTTTGCCCAATGAAGTTTTACATTACGTGCTATATAAATACTAATGATATTATTATTGTGAGATATTGGATTTGCTGAAATTGTTTACTTAGGATATCAATTGGTTTCAGAATCATGATATGAAAGTAGAGGATATAGATATATATACGGATAGTTCTTCATGATGATTTTAGATTATATTCAACAAACAATTTACTGGTAATAAATTATCGATGTTATTAGTTGATCACTCCTGGTATCAGTTACAATCGCTAATATCACTAATCCTTAAAGACTATGGGAGCTTACAAAAACGTACATTACGAAATCATGGTGAAAATTATAAAACCTAGTTGCACAAACAAACTCCAATTAGTAGATTTACAGTAAATTCATTCATATTTTTCAAATTCTGCAATGTTTGCTTTGATTTAAACACACAATCACAATCAGCTGAATGTCCGGCGAATTTGCATATTTCGTATATTTGTGCGGTGCAAAATTACTTTTTGGATGCATGAACCTGATTACCAGGAGTGATCTGAATGAAAATGTTTTCAACCAAAGCCCTGTTATATTTTTCACTTGTCAGTATAAATTGATGATTTCCAATAAAACACATGTGTTCGGGAATTGAAATGAGATGTGAATTTTGAAAAATAAAATGAAATTTTGCATATGAAAACAGAGCCAGTATTCAATACAAATATATTTTATGATCCCAGAAAAAGTTTCAAACTGGGATATTTTTGAGACTCGTATTTTACTTTTGGAACACTTTTTTGAAACAACAGTTATCTATCACAAACGACTCGACCCGAATTATCACCTATGTCTACATTTTTTCTGTCATGATTTTCATCATCAGCTTGTAACTAATAAAAATACCTTCAATGAAACTCACTCAAAAGTTCATGACTTTCGATTTCAGTTATAAAATAGGTGGGTTACTATCTACTAAAGAGAATACAAAACAAAAATGCTACATTGACCTTCAAAACTAACGGAACAACAATTTCCATTACCGTCGCGTCGATTTGTGAGGTAGTCCAGTCATTTTAGGTCGATGTAGACCTGTATTTTGGAAAGTTGATATACCCAGCTGTAAAGTCGTATTAACCTTGAATTTTGGCATCATAGAAGTATTCTCAAAATTCACATATGATTCGACGGCCGCAACTCCAAAAATAGGTGGTCAAAAGTAAAAAAAAATGACTTTTTGCACGATTTTTGCCAATATCTCGTTTACAATGGGTTTTATGCTAATTATATTTATTATCAATATTGTAGAGAATTGAATTGTCTACAACTTTCGTTCTAAACATTTTTTTCATACGTTGAATCGTTTTTGAGATAGAGGGCAGCGCGAGTGCAGATTANAAATACATAAAACATAAAAATCAGTTGATTTCAGACAATATTTAATCTGCGCTCGCGCTGCCCTCTATCTCAAAATCGATTCAACGTATGAAAAAATGTTTGAAACAAAAGTTGTAGAGAATTCAATTCTCTACAATACTGATAATGAATATAATTGGCATAAAACCCATTGGAACCGAAATTTTGGCAAAAACGTGCAAAAAGTCGTTTTTTTTTGACTTTTGACCACTAATTTTTGAAGTTGCGACCGTTGAATCATATGTGAATTTTGAGAATACTTCAATGATGTCAAAATACAGAGTTTATATAAATTTACAGCTAGGAATGTCCACTTTTCGATATTGATAATAATCAATATCGTATCCGTCTAAATAGGTTTCCAGTCATTACATTTTAATTATAATAATGAATTGTTATTATTATTAACGGTTAATTTCTTGCGCTGCTTCGGCAATGCAAGAAATTAACCAGGCATTTGGCAATGATAGTGTTAATGAACCCACTGTCCGACGTTATTTTGGGAAATTTCGTTCCGGAGACTAACCTCGAAGATGAGCCCCGAAGTGATCAACCTACAGTTAATCCACGACGATGATTTGAGTACCCTGG